GCTACTACTACTACTACTACTACTACTACTACTACTCCTACTCCGACTCCTACTACTACTCCTACTACTACTAGTACTAGTACTAGTACTACTACTACTACTACTACTACTACTACTACTACTACGCTTCTCCCAGTACTGCGAGCAAGCATACTGCTACGGCGGCATGGTAGCGACGGCAACTAGCAGTAAGACCATCAACAGAAACATCGGTGGTTGCCATTCGGGAGGGTAGAGCTGCTAGTGTGACCACAGTTCCAGCGGTCCGAGAAGCACTAGTGTTCTGTATGCTAGCGATGTCATAACATCTGTATGACCAGTAGAGCAACACTGTTGCTGCTGTTGCCAATATCCGTATTCGTACTACAGCAGTGTGAGCATTAACGTATAGTGACCGTACGGTCTTCAACAGTGGTTTTCAGGGCAGAGGCAGAAATACGAAGATTCGGTGTTGATTAAATTCAACGTCATGGTTTAGTCGTACTTGTGGCAGCAGGGTGGTTGTTTTCCGGCATGCCGGGCGATTTTTTCTTTCTGCGGGTTTGATGTAGCTTGCCTCCAGATCATGCCCCAAAGCCCAGAATCAGGGATAGCCCGAACCCCAACTTTCGCGTGTATCGAAACTACCGCCCGAGCTCAACAGGCTCTGCATCCACGACGGGCAGCTGTGGCTCAGCTTTGACTGGGAAGGCAAGAATGAGCAAGCAGGGCAGGTCGTGCCAGGCAGGCACGTGGCAGTGGAAGAGTGTCAGTTCATATTGAATGGCAGCCAAGACGCCAGTCATTTTCGGAACCAACGTCTAGCTTGTCAGAGACCTTCCCGAACAGACAAGAGATGGAGACTTGATCCCGAGAGTTGCAGATGGGCATTCCTAACCCAGAAGGCGGCCGGACAGCTCACAGCCAGACAGACAGACCGACCGACTGACCGACCGAGCTACGACCGACTGATACACGGGACAGACACAGACAGAGAGACACAGAGACACAGAGGCAGAGAGACAGTAGTAGTAGTAGTAGTAGTAGTAGTAGTAGTAGTAGTAGCGGGCAGGGGGAAGGAGCCTCGCGCCCCCAACCCCAAATGCCTAGCAAGGCAGAGAGACAGAGTAGTTGGCACAGGCTATCGGGCCGTACTGTTGGGTGAGTATCGGGTGTTTGGTCCCAAAGCTGTTGGCCTTCTGTCGCTGAAACTTGGGTTCATCTGGTGGACCTTATGTTGTGCCATTGTGAACCCCTGACGCAGGCGCAGAGGCCCGATGCTCCTTGCCCAAGCCCTGGCCGGGCAAAAAACCAGGCAGTGTACCGAAGCCCCCAAAGCAATACAGACATCAAGGTCCTAAGCCCGAGGGTATCAAGTGTTTGCACTGCTTCCTTCCTGCCCCCAAAAAAGTCCCGACTCTGAAACCTTCACATGTGTCGGCGTGATTTAGGCTTACGGTCGACCCGGTCGCCTCCGATCCCTACGATCGGCCACTTGAATCACCGTCCAGACAGGAGAGTGGTGGTAGTGGCGGTGGCTGAGCGATAGGAAATGGTCCTGCGGTGGCGGTGTAGTGAATGTAGTGTTTCGAGGTGTTTTTGTGGGTTTCAGGAGACCAGCCCCGAACGCCCAAAGCTGCAATCTAGAAGCCTGCTTTAAGCATCAAGGCTCTATACTGCACCATTATAGTAGCCATTGTAGAACCCTTTAAAGAATTCAACGAAGTAAAAGTATTGCGGCCCTTACAGTAGAACGCCCAGGAATCTCCCTACCTGCCACTACGAGCGGCAGCGACTTCGAAGCACAGGCTTGCGGCTGCAGTCCCTGCGCGATGAGGCAGCCTGAGGGTTTAGGGGTTTTGAGAGTTTTGAGGGTTTTTAGGGTTTTTAGGGTTTTTAAGGTTTTGAGGGTTTTGAGGGTTTTGAGGGTTTTGAGGGTTTTGAGGGTTTTTGAGGGTTTTTAGGGTTTAGGGCTTATCTCCATTGCACTAAAAATAAGGGGTCTGAGTACTTGGTAAAACGAGTAATCGTATTCCCCGATCGTCGCGAAGAAAGCAGCACAGTGTAAACCAGGCCCCCCTGCTGTCGAATATTCAACCCCGTGGGTTTTCGGGGCTTGTCTTAGGGTTTAGGGTTTAGGGTTTAGGGTTATTGGGGTTATTGGGGTTATTGGGGTTATTGGGGTTGTTGAGAGCATCTGTTGCGCCTTCAAAGGCTCATGGCCACGTCCCTGGAGTCCATGCAACACCGCCGACAGCACTAAAGGCCCTAAACCCCTAAACCCTAAACCCGCTCCAATACTTTTAAAAAAACCTAAACTCTAAACAAAAACCTAAACCCTAAACCTTAAACCCTGAACCCCTGAACCCTAAACCCTAATGCCTAAACCAAAAAATGTCATGGTTTGAGGGTCTTGGGCTCAGTGTCCAGTGATGCGGGCCGGTTCAGGAGTGTGAGTTTTTTGGGCTGTGCTTTCGGGGTGAAGGCTTGAGTGACTTGAACTATTCAGTAACTATTCAGGTTCTGGCTGCTGAGTTCGTAGAGACAGTGGCGCTGAAGGGTTTCTCGTTGTTTGAGCAGAGGTTTGTGTAAGGCTCTGGCAGATAACTCAAACACCAAACTCCATACTCCCTAAGCCCCCAACCCCCCAAAGCCCCCATCCCAAACCCCAGACCCCAAACCCTGAACAGGGGATACTGGAATCCTGCCAAGCCGCACCTCGCGACAAGATCCTGCTTGTGCTGCCAGAAGCCTGGCCGCAACTTGGGCCGTTTCCGAGGCGGCCGACATAGCCGGCTTGCTTTAGGCATTTTAGGTTCGGTGGTTCAGGATTTAGGGTCTCCGGGGCCTTAGGGCCCGTTACGTTTTAGACCCTAAGCCCTAAACCGTAAGGGTTTAGGTGCAGCCGCCAAGCTTTCAACCCGTACCCGAAGTGCTCGAAGATGAAGGTCCGGCCGGAGGGGTATAGGGTTACAAATCAAGCTACTATGTGGACATTCGGACGCCTTTCTCGTAGTTGGCTACAAATCAAGCAGTGTCATATACAGGCCTTGATGGTGTAGCATAGGGTTTCGGGTGCAGTATACTACAGTTCTCATGAGGAACCCTTCAGGAACTTGGGCTTCTACGTTGCCAAGCTTCGGGTTTAGGGTTTACGGTGCTGCGGACTGCCGGACTTCTCCGGACGGACGAAAAGCAGTCGGTCCGGTTGCTGTTTGGGTTTAGGGTCTAGGGCCTACTTCATGAGGGTTTTCTGCTCTCTGTGAGGAAAGAGGCCTCGAACGAAGCAGTCTAGACCCTCAACTGAGAACCTAAACTAAACCACCAGCCTGAAGCCTGAGCTAGCAGCCAGACGGGATCGCTCGTACGCATTTTTCATGTCCCGCCGCAGAAGGGGCTAATAATCATTAGCGACCAGGGAGGCACATAAGCATAACCTATTCAAACCTACCCGCCTGCAAGGATAGCACGGCCTTAATAGGACTTCTGTGAGGTGTTTTTTCGGGCTCCTTTTCTCCGCCCTAAACCCTAAACCCTAAACCCTAAACTTTAAACCGAGTTTGCTTGCGGCCTCAGGTCTGGCTCTCCAATACCGAGCACCTGACCTCGGCTTTGATTTTCTTCCAAGGCCGTTGCGGGGGGCTTGCGGGGGAGAAAGGGGCAGGGTTTTTGGGGGAAGCCCAGGCCTAGAGGTTGAAATCCTAGCTCACAAAGCGGGTTTAGGGTTTAGGGTTTATGCAATCGGTCATGCGGACTGTCACGAAGCGAGACACTTAGAGACTTCGGGTTTAGGGTTTTTGACCTCTTGTGTTACTTTCTTGCTGCCTGGCGCATGCAGGTCTTTGAAAGGTAAGTAGAACTGTGGGACAGAATATTGCAGCGCATGGCGACACGGAGTGTTCCAACTGCGAACACGACATACTTCGGCAAGTTAGCAATTGTCGTAGAGAAGGGCAGCGGCGGGTGCTTCCTTGGCACAGCATTCATTGCAGTCGAATCAGAAGGGCTTTCATGATCATGAGCAGCAAGAGCCCAGTCACACCGCATGCCAGTTCGAGCTGCCAGTTTCTGTTTTCCTCCACGAAGACCTCCTGCACTCATAGCAAGGCATGTTGCTAGATTCCCTGGACTGCAGAAGTCTACGGTAGCTGTAAGCCAAACTCTTCAAAGAGGTCCTACGATCAGCCACCGAGCAGTTTTCAAGGGGTCAAAGTCCCGTGCTCTCGTCTCTCGGGCAGGAGGTCTCGCTTCTTTGAGTGAGGTCTTTCGCAATCTTTCGCAGTCTTTCGAAGAGTGGATCCCAGGATCCTAGAGGAGGAGACCGGAGGATTGGACCTATGCTTCGTTTAACCGGTTGCATGTGTGCGTAGTTAAGCCCTGGGACCCTTGTCCAGGTATGCAGGCTCTTGTCTTGCCTTCAGGCGCCCTTTCCTGGTTTCATGGCCCGACGGGGAGGAAAGTGCCGCTTGGAAGCACCCCCGTAGGTCAGCTTCGGGAACGAAACAAGCGAGATCGCTTGCTAGCTCAGCATCTACCACTCGCATCGTACCGAATGACCAAATGATACCTTCCATCCTTCGAAGGACGGTAGTGGTCACTAGTCTGCTTTATCGGATAAAGCAGTATCGAGCGCTATGTAGTTGGCGCGTGATACGTGCCACCCTCAAACGAGCGCCCAAGTCCTCGAGGCTCGCATCCCTCTGGCGCGCTGCCGGCCTGGAAAGCCCGCCGAGTGGGCTCCAGCGGAACACTACGGAGGTGATGGAAGGGGCTGAGGCTAAGGGGCCGATGGAGTTTCGGGTTTGGGGTGCAAGGTGAAGGTTCAGAGTTCAGAGTTCAGGTTTCAGGGTTTAGGAGTTTTGGGTCCTAGACCTGGGGGCCTCACTGCGAGCCTTTTTGTTGCCGGCATCGATGTGCTGACTCGCGTACGGAAGCACCGTGATGACGAAGCAGATCAGGGTTCAGGCTTTGCTTTAATAAAAATTTTGAAGTAGTACAGAAGCCAGAATATCTCACAGTTTTTTCCTTGGAGTTCCGTAGGTTAAGTTAAGTTCCTTCTCATCATATACCCTCCCGTGAAGCTCCTCGGAGTTCGACGAGTCTGATGAGTGTACTGCCACGTGTCCGCCAGGTTGTATTTGCCCCCTCTCCAAGCGAAGGCGGGAGAGCCAGTGCAACCCTAAACCCTAAGCCCCAAAAGGGTTGATATAAGGGTTGTTAGAAGGGTTCCTATAAGCACCTTGAGGATTTGAGGATTCGAGGCTACGTAAACGCCAAGCCCTAAATCCTCAAGGCGTTCGGGAAGAGCATCTCAGGTTTGGGCATCCGAGACGCAAAGCTCGTGATTTGGGATTGGGAGTTTCAGAAAAGAGACGGCACTAATACGAACCCCACATAGTAGGCTCCTGTTTATAAGGACTCTTTAACGAAGGACCCCTCCCTTCAAGCCGGTCTCGGACGGGAATTTCGGATTAAAAACTTGCCTTCCGGTCGCTTTTTCTTTCAGGTTGGGGCTTGTCTTTGCATGCAGAAATGGGGTCCAGGCCGTGAGCCCCAAACCCTGAACCTCTAAATTACTAAGCCCTTAAGCCGTGAGCCGCAGCAGGCAATCCCGCGCAGCTAAAGAGTATGGTCTTCCTCAAGCTCTTTGGCTTGCTCAGTGACATGCCCTTGCGCAGCTTGGCATCGGAAGGTGAAGGCTTTGCCGTGCCACCGAGGGAGTGGTTCTCTGAATCTTGCAGGGTTTAGGGCTTAAGGTTTATAAATCCGCGTCTCTTGCAGGGTCCTTAAGACGAATCAGAATGCGGCGCTCGGATAATCCGGACCCTGAAACCCAAAACCTTAAGCCCTAAACCCCTAANNCCTGAAGCCTAAGCCCTAAACTCTAACCCGTTCGTGGATCAGACCGAGGAGCCCTTGAAGGCTCACGGCTTGATCCATCTTCCGCCGTGGTTCGTGGGGGCGGTTTTCGGGGTGGAAGAAGCCGTGAATATAGGGGCCTTAAGAATTAGAAGAGGGCTTTGGGGCCCGTTATACTATAACTACAGTAAGACCCCCCCCAAAAAAAAATAATACTATTGGTAATTAATTAGGCCCCTACATTAGAATAGGTTCTTGCCACCCTAAGGTACTCAAGGCTCTGATAATTTGGAGCACGGGATCGACAGGGGTTGCTCAAGAAATGTCACCTTGCTTCTTGTCCCCTCAATGCGGACCTCCAGCAAAAGCCACACCCCCAAACTGAAGCCTCCTAACGCCAAAGGCTGAAACTAAGAAAAACATGTGAAAATTATATATATATATATATATTTTTATGTATATTTATATATATATATATATATATATTATTTATGTATATATAGCCCAAACCGAAGTCTCGTGCTTCGCATCTCCACCCGAACTCGTGACCCGCAGCTTCCATCCGAGCCTCAGTCTTGCCATAGTTGCAACTCCTGGAGACGGCATGACATGCAGTTGTCATATAAGAGTTTCCGAAAATTAGCGGTACCTTATTTTGGGGTCCTTATAATAAGGATCCTACTATTTAGGGTGCTATATTCGGGTCCCCTATTTTCGGAAACTCCCATATAGGGTTTAGGGTTTAGGGGAAAAGGTCCCATGGGAGCCTGGGAACAGGGGATGATGGAAGCGCACGCCTTTCCAAGGACTTCTGGTGTTCGATGGGGTTCTCTTGGTACTTGCTTTCGGAAGGCACACAAGGAGACTTTCCAAGCACTATGGCTAGAGCCTGGCAGCCCGTGAGGCAGTCTCTTGAGAGCGGAGCCGTGTCGCTGCTATCACCGTGCAGGGCTTTGGGGCAACCTGTCGCAAGCTTGGACTCACAGGGTTCATAGGCGCTAAGCCCTGGCTTAAGCACGCCGCCTTCGCGACGCGTGGGTTCGCACACTCGATGCCCCTAAAGCGCCCTGGAGTTTGTTTCTGTAGCCTGAGTATACGGTGTAGGGAAACACGCAACCCCAAACCTTCAGCAACCGTGGCCCCTAACCCCTCAGCCCCAAACCGAGAAGTACATAACCCGAGCCCAAGTTCCTCCTAAACCGTAAGGCTGGACCCCCGAAAGAACTAAAACTTTTAACCCTGAAGCCCGAACAGCTAAAGCCCTCCCTGAACCCCAACACCCCTGAACCTAAACACTAAACCTAACACGCAGCCGACATCCTTACCTTCGCACACGCGAGCTTAGCGCGAAACGAGCCCTAAACCCTAAACCCTAAACCCCAATCCGGAAGACCCTTAAGAACCTTACTCCTGAGAGAGGCATCCTCGAAGCGCCTTTCTCTGGGCCAGGTGCCCTTGGGAGTTTGAGGGGTTAGGGTTTAGGGTTTACTGTCCAGGGGAGTAGGTCTGAGAGTTCAGGGTTAGGGCTTGTGGATTTAGGATTTTCGGCTTGGGCTTTGGGATCGAGCGGGCGTTTGGGTGTATACCCTAAACCCTAAACCCCTAAACCCTAAACCCCTAAACCCTAAACCCTAAACCCTAAACCTTTTTTTTTTGCGTGTCTTGAGGTCCTTCGGGGTGCTTTTCGGGTTCAGAGCCCCAAAGAAGGCAAAGAAGCCCCATGTAAAGCTCTCATAGAACCCTTATGAAATTTTCTGGACAGGGTCACTTGAGGGGCAAAGATCAGCTCCAGCAGTGAATTTTGGGGCTAGGTTTAGGTTTTGTGCGTCTACCCCTGCACGCTTCACTCACCGCCTGCTCATGATACACAGCCTCAAGCCCTCGACCACGTCTAGCTCCGAAGGTTCAGGCCTGCAGGGGCTGCAAAGTTGCACCTAAACACCATGCTGCACTGTGCGGGGATTATAGTGAGCGATCTTTCTAAATTTCACGGCGCTTCTTGGTTTTGACGCCACAGATGCTAAGCATTAGGGGCGCGGGAGCGCAGAATCTAAGCATCCCGATGCATGAGCAGCAAATCCCAAACCTTCAAAATCAAATCGTTACGTGAGGCGACCTCATCTTTTCAGACGTCAGCGCCATCAGGCGCGCTGTGGCGCGCGAAGTGCGCCGACTGTGGCCCGGAGTGGGATGAACTGGCTGGAAGGGTTCGGGTTCGGAGGATTGCCAGAGCTTCAGGGTTTGAGGCTGTGTTAGGGGCGGCTAAGTCTAAGGTTAGTATGAATATGAGTTGTTGTCATCAGGACGACTGCCTATTACTGCTGCTACTACAACGGCTGATCTCAGTAAGACACATGACATCCAGAATAACCGCAACAAGAGCACACACACACACACCGATAATAACTGGACTTACTGGATGCAAAAAGTCTGGACCAATCTACTTTGAAGGCTACCTGCTACCTATGATATAGTATATTCCACATCTTATAGACTACCTTACATATGAAACATATATATATATATATACATACATATGTATGTATACATACATACATA